GTATCCTTTTGAAATTCCTTTAGTGAAGTTGGTGGGAGATTAACTCCCCCAATTTGTGTTTGCCTGAAAATCTGTATTTTATTTTCATTCTTGAGAGCTAGTTGAACTAGGTTTCCAGTTTTAGATGAACTTTTATTTTCTCCCAGAACACTATAGATGTTTTCTTGGTTTTCATTTTTGCTGCTGTGACATCACTCTAAGTTGTATTCCTTTGAAAGTACATTGTCTGTTTTAGCCAGACACTTTCATTAAATCTTTTCTCGTCACTGTTGGTTTCACTTTAATTTACAATGTGACTGAGTTAAGATTGGTTTTATTCTGTTTAGATTTTTTGTTTCCTAACTCTTATTTTTGTCTTTACTAAGTTGTAGAAAATTATCACCTGATATTTTACAAATATTTTCTTTTCTTCTACTTTTTTATTCTGGAACTCCAATTACAAATATGGCAGACCTTTTCATTCTGTCTTCCATCTCTCTTAAACTGTCCTTTATGTTTTCTTAATCTCTCTATGCTAAATTCTGCATAATTCTTCAGATTTAGTTAATTAACTTCTCTTTGGTTGTGTTTGGTTTGATTAACCCACCACTGAGTTTTAATTTAAATGAATATATTTTTAGTTTTATAAACTCTATGTAGTTCTTTTCCAACCCTATGTAATCAAAAAATATCCTCTTAGTCTTCTGTCGTGTTTAAAAAATATATATAATTTACAGGAACATACTAAGCACATTTATTTTATACTCGTAATATCAACATTTCAGGTCCTATGTGATTCCTCTAATTCACGGCTTACTGTTTTTGTTGACTCTGCTAACTGTGGACTGTTTCCTTGTATGTGTGAGCTTCTATTTTTCTGAATTTAATTTGAAGAAAACATAAGAATGCCTTTCTCCCCATGGGTATGGGTTTTTTTCTGGTAGGTGCTCTACCAATCTGGTGCACTACCCACCTGGAAGCACTTTAAATTGTCAGCATATCCTTGCTTGAACTCTGTAGGTGTTTTAAGTTCAAATCCTCAACTCAGGTTCCAATAAGCTTGTACTCTGAATTCTCAAGGGATACTTTCACTTACCTGAAGCCAAGGACTAAGATTTTAAAAGTTTGCTTTTGGTTTTCTTCATCAAAAGATGGATTTTTTTTAGTTTGACCTTTCACCACGAGTCTAGCCCTGTAAGCATATTAGTCTTATATATGAGTTTTAGTTATTTGCCCATCTTACTAGATAAAAGGGCTTATTTCCTATTCCTTTACAAGGCTGTCAAAAGCCTAACCTCTGTTTCTGGTGTTGTTAGATATCTCCAGGGAAGTCAGGGCTTTAGTGCTAGCTTATCACTCAGTTTCATTTTGCCTTTTGTTTCAAAGATATTTCTCTCATAATTTCTAGATGCTTTTGGTAGGAGAATTTTTACAATGTCTAGTCCAACAGAAGTGGAAATATCTCTACATCTCTTTAAATAAAAAAAATTACCACCTCCATTCTAGCAAGGCTATTTCAATCAATGTTAACATGTTCAAAGACTAAATCTAAATGACATATTTAAAAGCATAAAAATAACCTTTAATATGAAATGTGGGTTAATGTGGAGGTAATATCAAGAAAATAAAAAGAAGGAATGCCAAGACTATTAAAACTAGTACAAACATTTTACTTAATAAGCTGTCTATCCTCCTAGCCATTATTGTCCCAGTGGTAGATGAATTACAGTTATGATGCAAAATTTGAAACTTATTTGGAAATGCTTTTGTCAAACGTGATATTGATCAAACAGAATTCTTTCAGTGAAATTCTTTAAAAATAACATTTTAACGACACGATCTAACTTTCATTTCTTTATCTCTTAACTTCAATATATTTAGTACTCTGAAAGTTAAAGCATCTAGTAAAAACTCTACCGTTTAAGCACAAATACATACTTACACAAAGAGCCTTTTGGAATTAAGCTGGGAAGGTAATTTAGATAAAACTTAATCAGTTAACTGATCTTCAGTAAAATTAGTAAAACCAAATTCATTCTATTAGATTTCTACAATTTCTCTTAAAACCTACCCTAACACAGAAGAATAGTATTTAATCTCAGAATCGATCTTCTTAGGCTAATTTAATTAATTTTTATATTCAATGGATGATCACAATGTGTGGTATTTTTCTTTAGTATAAAAATGCTATTCTAGATTTCTCATCTTTTGCGATGAGATTCCATATAGTTCAAATTAGGCTGGTGATAATCACCAAGGGGTATGTGATCTCTAATAACTGTAAAATCTTCTTAAGCTTTTTTCTACTGGCATTAGCATAGTGTTTACCTTGGCAATGGAAGAGAAGCCAAAGGACATAAAGCACCCGGTAGCATTTTTAATACACCTGGCACAGATTTCTGGCAGTAGCAGCATCCAAAAACGTGCATTAGCTCTGGTTTTATTCAGTCTCTTACAAGAAGGGGGAAAAGAGGTAAATGTGCAGTTGGCAATTTAAGAACTGCTGAGCTATGGGTCAAACTTTGCTTCACTGAATAAACAATAAAACTCCCTCAAACTCAGCTTAATATTGCATGGTCGTTAGCGACTTCATCATCAAAGTTGGTTTGACTGGATTGGTGCATACAGATGAAAAATCATCTTTTTAAAATGTAAATCATATCATGCAGTGGCCCTGCTTAAAACCCTTGAAGCAATTATATTGCTCTCAGAATAAAATTCAAATTTCTTATCAAGGCCCATAGGACCTTACCAGATTTGTCCCCTATCCTTCTCTCTAACATCATTATATAACAATCCCTCCTCTCTCACTGGATTCAGGCCACACTGACCTCCTTTCTACTGCTGTAATATGCCAAGTTCTTTCTCCAGCCAAGGAAATTCAACAAAGAAAAGATCATCTCTAAATTGAGCTAGAACAACTGGATATTTTTATTTAAAACTTAACTTTGATCCATGTATCACATTTATAAAAATTAACTTAAAATTTATTATAGGCATACACATAAAAACTAAAACTATAAAACTTTGAAAAAAACATGGAAGAAAATATTTTTTATCTGGATCAGCCAAAGATTTCTTGAAGACACAATAAATAATATTTCTAAGAGAAAAGAAACTGATAAAATGCATTTCATCAAAATTGAAAACTTTTAAATTTTTAGACATGGGTGAGGGAAACAAAAAGGCAAGTCATAAATTAGAAGAAAATATTTGCAAAATAAATGTTTGACAAAGGGCATGTGTCCAAAATATAAAATGAACTCTTAGAACTCAAGAAGAAAACAAACAACCTATTAATGAGAAGATTAAAAAAATATTTGAGTGGAAACTTCACAAAAGAAGATAAACAAATGAAGAAGAAGCACATGAAAAGACTCCCAACATCACAAGTCATCAAGGAAATGAAATAAAAATCAAAATATGATAGCATTACATACCCACTAGCATGGCTAAAAATTAAAATACTGACAATGTCAAGAGTTCATGATAATGTAATGTAACGATGACACTCATACATTGCTGATAGGAATGTGAAATGGCACAGTCACTTTGGAAGTCATTATGGCAGTGTCATATAAACATATATACATCAAGCCTACTTTTAGGCATTTATCCAAGAGAAATTAATGTCTATGTCTACATGAAAACTTGTACATGAAGCATTATCCACTATTGTCACAATCTGAAAACAAGACAAATGTTCACCAACATGTAAACAGGTAAATTATGATATATCTAGATGATGAAATATTACCTGGTAATAAAAAGGAACTCAATACACACAACAACCTGGGTGGATCTCAAAAGTATTATGTTAAGTGAAAGAAAACAAACAAAAAACTACATACCATTTGGTTTAATTACATGAAATTCTAGAAAAGGTAAAAGCATAGTGAGAGAAAGCAGAGGAGTGGTTGCCTGGGTCTAGAAGTTGGGGCAGAAGATCAATTGTAAAGAGGCACAAGAGAACTTTTTAGGGTCACTTTTTTTTTTTTATGATCCAATTCAGTTCATATCTTGTAAATGTGTCATTACAAACTTTTTACAATTTTTGTTCAAAATTTTAAGACATTTCATGCTTGTACATGTTTACTTTACCATTTTTGTGTTCTAAGAAGTTATAAAAAGCCTTCTACAAGATTTGTATCAACAAGTACCACGAATGTTTTTATAAAAGTTCAGAAGAAGAAAAGCTCATTGGGTGGAAGATAGAAGGTTCTTCTGATTGATGTCTTTGCCTGTGAGTTCCTCCATGTGTGAATTCCACCTTGGTCCATGCTGGCTGCACAGAATTGCCGTACACATTGATTTGACATACCCGTCATGCTCCCCTACTATATCTTATATATGCTTGGAGAGTCTCCTCCAGAGAGTAAGGTGTCATCAACAGATTTAGTGATGTCCCTGTGGGACACCACAGCTTCACCTCTTGTAGCCCTGTCTCCCCAGGCAGGTTATTTTCTAGCCAATCCCCTCCCCCGAGAAAAGTTCTTCAATCTTCCATGAAGTACACGATCTAGGATTGGTGGTTCACTCAATGCCTTTAGACACCCATGGACGGCAAGTCCATGCAAGTTCATAGTGCATCACTCCACCTCACAGCCTAGAATCAACACATGATGTATTAGAAAAGAGCAAACTCCTAAAGAGAGCATGTATGGAACAGGATGGGTGCCACTCAAAACTTATGATTCATATCTAACAAAAGACAAGGTAGATATTACATTCAGTCAATGCATAAATTAAATTCAGTCAAAGCATAAATATGTAAGAACAAGTGAGACAGCCACTTGGCAGAAATAATTTCATTAATTCATTCCACAAAATATTTTGGGGACTCACTACTGTTTTATACTGTGCTGAGCTTTATATTGTTGAATGATATGGAATTTGAGTAATTCCAAATAGTTAATTAGTTAATTTGATGAATTAAGTAATGGAAAAATATTAAAGTATGCTTCACAAGACGCTGTCTTGTTTTCTCACTAATAATTCGCTTTTAAAAATCATTTATTCAGCTTGGACCTCAGTTTATTCATTCCTGAACTGGGCATAAAAATATTTGATCTTGGGACATGGAATGAGCAGTAACTGGAAGCGGGACACAAGGGATCTTCTAGAATTCTGGTAATGCTCTCTTTCTTGATGTGTGGATGTGTTCAGTTTGAGACAATTCACTAAGTGGTATATTTATGACTTGTGCTGTTTTCAGTGTGTATGTTATACTTCAACCAAAAGGTTACTTCCAAATTAGATGAGTTGTAAGGCCTCTTTCCAACCTGAATTAATTTATGATTCTATTACTGATTTAAGTAAAGGATTATAGTAGAGAAAAGAAATCTGGACAGGAAATTTTAAAGCATGATTCTAGTCTCAGTTTTTTACTAACTAGCTGTGACTTTTCACCAAACACCCAGTCCTTGAGGGACCCCTTTTTCTCATGTATACCTTGAGAGACTGAATCAATTTAGATTTTCTCTAACATCCCTCCCACTGGAAACATCTGTGATGATTGTTACAAACATTTAACCCAACCCAGTGGTTTACCAAAACATTATTGAGTTGTTTGCAGCCCTTCTGTTATAAACACATAAGCATCAGGTGAGACGTTTTTGGTTTGTAAATTGTACTAATGACAAGCATGACTTATTCTCATAATTGAGTTCTAGATCCTACCAGAAATCTTCTTTCTGCTATTAATTTGCTTAGGGAACCATTCTCTTTGTAATAAAAATTGGGTATTAAGTAGTTTTACTGTACTCTGTAAATGCATTTTCATGGGCATGCCTCAAAAGGTTTTTCTTCTCCTGTTTTGCTTTTATAGTCCTTCCCACATTATCCATTTTCCCCGCTCAGAGAAAGACCCTGACCCTCTAGCTTTATTCTTCTCTTGAAATGCTCATAAAATTTTTTAATTTAAAAATCATTACTCTTTGGATCTGCCTATGAATCTTTATTTGAAACAGAGAAATCATGGGAGTTATTCTGAGTTTTTGTCAAAGATTGTAAATTCTTTAATTCTTTTCCCTATAAACCATTTCATTTATAGGTCTAGTTCAGGGATTAATGGATCATCTAGCATAAGCTGTTTCTTGCCTCTGGATAAGTGTTTCCCCCCAGAATTTAATAGACAGAAAGTACTTCTTAAAATTTTAATGTTATTAACACTTAAAAAGATGAATTTTTCTGAAAACATTTTTATAGGAATCTCTCCCTAAGGGTAGCCTTTGGAGACTCCCTTAGGCTTTTTAGGTAGGGGGAGGGATTGTTGTTGTTTTTAAAAAAATAAATTTTATTTTGTATATTTAATACATGCATCATGTTGTGGGATACATGTATGTAGTTTAAAAGGTTATTATAGTGAAGCAAGTTAATATATCCATTACCTCACATAGTTACTCACTTCTTTGTTTTTGTGGCAAGAGTAGCTAAAATTTGCTCATTTAGCAGGATCCCAAATACAGTACAATTTTATTACCTATATTCCCTTGTGGCAATTTTGATGTTTGGGTCAGTTACTTTTATAAATTATTTCTATTCTTTTACTACTTTGTTATTCTCTTGCAGAAAAGTGGACAATCTGACGTTGGTCGCTTTTTTTCTGAGCCCCTGGGAACTTGGACAATGAATCACTTCAATTTCAAAATCCTCTATATTTGGCTCTTGGTTTTTCATCTTTCCCATTCCATTTAGAGATAGTACATGGGCGCTGCTTTTCTGGGAATTAACACTTAAGACCTATTACATGCTTAAAAAATTAGTCACTAATGTGTGTTTTCATGACATCTTGCTTTCAAATGTCATTATTTCTCATTTCTTAGAGGTCACTGTACTAAAAAATACAAAGTCCTAAATGGCAAGAATTCACTGTAAAAGATAGCTTGTCACGTTATTCTTGAAGCAGATATACATTTCTATTTTACCTCACCAAGTTTATAGACTCAACAAAGAAATGAAGAGGCATTGAACAGAAATGCCCTTAAGTCACCGCAGAAAGGTAATTACCTCTCTTTTTTTAAAAAAATATCCAGAAGTCTACCCAGGCCTATGCTGGTAATGGACTGGGTTACCGCCAACCCTCAAGCTGACATAAAACCCTTCAGCTCTCTCGCTGTCACATTTTTCTTTCCCCTGGAAAAATCACCTTCTCTTCTCTTTGCCAAACAATATCCCTTCTGTAATTTTAAGTCCATTCTTCTCAATCCTCTCCTTTCAAAATAAGACTGACCCATAAAAAAACAATCATCTGTTTCTCGATGTGGTTGAAGATTTCTTCTTTTGGAGAGAAAGAAAGAAACCCTGAGATGTGACATCCTGTTTCCTCCAGACCCTTTTCCTAAAATCAGAAACAAAGGCCTCTATGTTCCTATATCAGAATTTGCAAATCCAGTCTAAGGGGAATGTATGGCTTACTGCATAAGGATTCCTGCCCTCCTTCAGATCAGCTGATCTCTAGTTAAATAATGGCAGCCACCAGAACCATGCACTCTGTGCCCCATTGCCTGGTCTGTCCAGGTAGGTCACTGTGTCAAGCACTGGGAACACATAGGCCCAGGGGACTATTGTCAACAAAACCATCTTGTTCACCTTGCACTTAGTGCTTTTACGCTTATAAGGACCTTTAGCAAACGTGTAATTTTTACAAATCTCTGAGGATAACCTGATAGGGAAATAGATTTACTCCCCCATTTCATAGAGACTATGGGACTATAATAATAATAATACCACTTTTGCATTTTAGGAAAGGAAGAACTAGAATCCAATTTTCCTTTCTTCAAGTCTTCACAACCTCTACCTGTAAGCCTCTAGTCTTAATCCTGAAATATCCCTGTTATATGGTTTGCCTACCCCTCACCAAACCTCTGGTGAAATTAATCCCCAGTGTTGGAGGTGGGACCTAGTGGAGGGTATTTGGGTCATAGGGGCAGATCATTCATGAAAAGATTAATGCCCTCCCTCATGGGTGAGTGTTTAGTTCCTGAGATAAACATTTATTTTAAAAAGTGAGGCACCTCCTTCCCCACTCTCTTGCTTCCTCTCTCACCACGTGATCTCTGCATGCACCTGTTCTCCTTTGCCTTCTGGCATGAGTGGAAGCAGCCCGAGGCCCTCACCAGATGCAGTTGCCCAGTCAGGATCTCTCCAGCCCCAACAACGTGTGCCAAATCAATCTTCTTTCTTTATAACTACCCAGTGTCAAGTATTCCTTTAGAGCAACGCAAAACAGACTAAGACAATACCATAATAACTCTACTTGTTTTATTCTCTCCTCTCTTATAATCTTTCACTGCAGATATGTTATAGTACCAGAGCACAAATGCCAGTTGATTTTAAGCTCAGAACCCAAATAAGCTCTTTTTTAAATGCTATTCTCATGTGCTCAGTTAATTGTACTAAATTTCCTTCTTTAAGAAGTTTGAACTTAGTGATAATCCTTGTGGCAGTTTTCATTCTATTGTGGTCGATAGTAGGCAAAGTCAAAAATGCATAGTTTCAGGAAAATCATCAATCAACTGGGCAAATATGAAACTGTCCAGTGAGGAATAGAGCCTGCCATTACAAGTAAAGCAGTATTATAAAATATCAGCCGGGCGCAGTGGCTCAAGCCTGTAATCCCAGCACTTTGGGAGGCCGAGGCGGGTGGATCACGAGGTCAAGAGATCGAGACCATCCTGGTCAACATGGTGAAACCCCGTCTCTACTAAAAATACAAAAAATTAGCTGGGCATGGTGGTGCATGCCTGTAATCCCAGCTATTCAGGAGGCTGAGGCAGGAGAATTGCCTGAATCCAGGAGGCAGAGGTTGCGGTGAGCCGAGATGGCACCATTGCACTCCAGCCTGGGTAACAAGAGCCAAGTTCCATCTAAAATAAAATAAAATAAATAAAATAAAATACCATGGAGTGAATCTCTTAGTCTCCAACTGGCTAAGTCCCACATATCATCTTTATCCTAAGCCAATAGAAAAGCAGGTTTTCAACATGATCACTTATTTCTCACCATTGCTGTGAGTGACTCTAAGAACAGCATTAACAAGGAACCTTGTCCCAGGATAGCTGTCACCCACATAATCCCCAGGATGGTTAGTAAGTGTCTCTGTCTGCCTTGGCATTTTTTCCTTGCCAATGCACTATCAACAAAACGAATGTACTTCAGGATGAGCAGTCTCATCAAAGTTTGTGGAGTCATGGTGTCTGATTTTTAGAATAAATGATATTTATACCAACAATAAAAAAGGGTTTGTTGTTTGTATAGTATATGCAGGGCTCTGGGCTTGGCCTGAATGATACAAGATGGCACCAGACACATATTTTTACCTGAAGGAACTGACAATATAACTGCAGGTGCAAGACTTGGATCTAAAAATTGAAAGTGCCATTGCAATTTAGTACATTCATGTGTCACTTAACGATGGAAATATGTCTTGAGAAACACTTCATTAGGCAATTTCATCCTTGTGAGAACATCATGATCTACTTACACAAACCTAGATGGTATAGCCTGCTCCATACCTAGGCTATGTGGAGTAGTCTATTGCTTGCAGGCTACAAACCTGCACAGCATGTGACTGTACTGGATGCTGTAGGCAATTGTAACATATTAGTATTTGTGTATCTGAACATAGAAATACTAATATGTTACTAATTGTAACATATTAGTATTTGTGTATCTGAACAAAGATACAATATTATAGTTGTATTTGTTTATAATTTTATACAGTATTGTAATTTATAATACTATCACATGAGAGGTCCATCATTGATGGAAACATCATTATGTAATGCATAACTGTACCTTAAATCCAGAATAAGTGATGTGGCATATAAGCATATGGGAGCTCATAGGCTGGAACGGTTTGGAGAGTTAAAGCAGGTGGGAGAGCCCATTAACTCTGGGTCTCACACAGAATTTACTGGCTACATTTACTCCTCATTCAGTCCTCAACATTATCATATGAGACAACATACTATTATGGCCTGTGTTCCTCTTCTGTTTTGCAGGTGAAAAAATGGAGGCTTGGAGGTAAGTAACTTGCCTAGATCACACACCTGGTGTTCAGACAGTCTGACGCTGGAATGCTAGCTCTTAACCATGTTGTAGATAGATGAGGAAACCCTTCTATCTGAATGTGAAGATGATTGGGAAAGGGACCCATACAAAAGCTCTGGGAGAAAGATCAGTGTAGCCAATAAACTCTGCTAACTGGAGTTTATGATGAAACACTGCAGAGGCCATCCAGGATTGTGGCTGGCTTTGCCAGTTCACACCCAGTTGGCAAGGATGACTAAAGACACACAGCACGAGGAAAGGAACATGGACAAGTCGAGCAGACAGCATCCTCCAGTACACCAGAGTTTATGGAGAGACCTCTGAATAACAGCCGCATCCTCCAGTACACCAGAGTTTATGGAGAGAACTCTGAATAACAGCCTGGCAAGACAAATATCTTAATATATACTGATACACCAGGGTACCAAAATTGTGACTCCCATACAGGGTACAGATCATGAGGTAACTGACTTAATGAGAGCAGGACAGGGAGGCCTGGGGAACCCATCCCCAGAGTACAGGAGGCACTGTGGGGAGGGTCAGTGGCAGCTGCCAGAAGGAAGGTTAGCCACAAGAAGAATTAATAGGCAGAAGTTATGGCATAACCTTTTTAACATTAAGTTAAACAAGGTACACCAAACTGCCACCTGGTAGGAAAGGGCACTGGATTTGTCATCAGAGTAAGATGTACTCTGGAAAGAGGAAAAAGAAAGTCCAGTGCTAAGGTCCAAAGACAGACCAAGTAGCAGCAAAACTGAGTTGATTCCAAGTCATATCTTTCCTGGCAAAAGCCTTGACATCTCTTTTTTCTGGGTCAGAATTGAGCAAAAAGCCCAAGATGAAATTGATTGAATCTATATGTAAGAATCAAAGACCCCTAGCTGTGGTTTAATAAGTCTTTAGAAGATGGGAACTAAGCAGCACCTATAATAATTTCTATTCATTTTTAGCAAATATTTATTGGGTGTCTACTATGTGCCAGGCACTCCAACAAGCGAAGGACTACAGCAGTGAGAAAGACAGGTCTCTGCTCTCCTGGTACTTATATTCCAGAGGGAGCATAATTAAATAAATTAAGATGAGGCAAAAATGTAAAAAAAGGTTTTAAAAAATTTTGCAAAGGCACAGAGGCAGGAAATGTCATGGGTTGTTTGAAAGAGAAATAATTAGTCTGGTTGCAGCAAAATGTTTATGGAAGGAATCTAGGGAATTCATCCATGCACTGAATTCAGAATCACCAAAATGGTGCATGTTGGAGCTCAACAAGCCCACAGACCACCTGCCGAGTCCCTCCTGTCTGCAGAGGAGAATTGGAGTCTCAGAAAATGGGGGTAAGTGGCAGTATGAAACACAGATCTTAGTGAAGACAGGCCCTATTGCCATTTATTTGATGAAAATTCTGCAAATCATTAGTCCACTGGATTTTTTAGTGGTTTAAAGAAATGCAATGGTCATGGGAGCTGGATCCAGGCCTGCCTCTTTTACCCTTATCTGTGTCTTCGGGCAAACTCCTGAGATTCACTGAAAGCCTGGAGGCTGATGCTCCCAAAAGCCCCTTCCAATTCAGAAATCCTTTAATGCTTTAAATGATTCTAGCCCAGTGTATAAGTCCATTTTCACACTGCTATAAACAACTTGCCAAGACTGGGTAATTTATAAAGGAAAGAGGTTTAATTGGCTCACAGTTCAGCATGGCTGGGGAGGCCTCAGGAAACTTAGAATCATGGCAGAAGATGAAGAGAAAGCTTCAAGATGAGATTTTGGTAGGGACACAAAGCCTAATCACATCACCCAGTTATCAGTGATGACTCTTTAGAGGTATCAGCACAAGCTGGGGAACAAGGCAACACGCAACCCAGCAGCAGGATTCAGGTTCTGGTCCTGATTGTGGACCCTGCTGTGGTCTTGAACAACTTACGTAATCCCTTAATGTCCTCATCTATGAAGCGCGGGGTTGCACCAGGCCATTACCAAGCCACCTCTCAGTTTGAGTCTTCTTTGAGTCTAGAGTCTTACCTCACTTTGATGGTGAAAAAAGACAAACACATGACTTTTTTAGAAAAGATACCAGCTCTCAGTGAAAACATCTTAAAACAAACAGCATTAATTTCTTGCTCCTTTACATCTCATCTCCTACACTCTACTTTGTAATTTTATGGAGTCACTGGTATAAAATTTCAGTTACAATGCTTGCCTTCAATGCTCATGCAGCATTTAAATAAATGCATTTTTAAGTAAAATGAAAGAAGAATACAGGGTCTAGGAAGAAGACAAAAAGTCAATAAATTATTAAATCTATTTCTCACAAATTAAATGCATTGCATTGTGTAAACAGGATTCTAATACAACCAAGCCCCCTCAGGTAGTTCACCCACATGGCTCTATAAATGCCATTAGCACTCTCCGTGAGCTTTATAGTGCATATGAATGTGCTTGTTCTAACAATACCATCAACTGTTTCTGAACCAAAAGCTGTCAAGATTTCCATTTCCTTTATTCTAAGTGGGAAAAAAACCCCAGCTCTAAGTGAGACTTATAATCAGAGAGAAAAGTGACAGAATATTGGCTAATTTGCTTCCCTAAGAGGCCTTAGGCCTCTTAGAAGTTCTTGCCTAGGGTCTGACTGTTTTATTATCCCAGTTTTTCTTTTCTCAGCTAAAATCATGGTGACAATTCAATTTAAATCTTGCTGCTATAAAAATATTTTTTGTTTGCTTCAGGAAAAAGGACCCAAGTGTACAAACAAAAGTCAGAAAATATAATATGCACAATTCCATATTCATTCATGGCTGGCATCTTTTAGCATTGCATTTAAATTACTGCAATGTGACTTCTAGAGTGCATAAATAATAGTAGCTAGTGTATATTGAGCACTGACTCTGTGCCAGGCACTGTGCTAAATGATTTATATCTAGTATCTCATCCAATCTTCCCAGCAAATAAATCTTGGAAGCAGTCAAATGCGTTGACCTCTCAAAGCCAGCTCTGCCTCCTAGTTTTATTTCAGTACCGTGGTCCCATCACTCCACTTGCTATGTAGGCCTGAGAACTTGGTTATTCTTATCAAAAGAAATTCAGAGACTCACCCTCTTGTGCAATGTCTCTCACACATGTGTTTTCACTTCCTTTTGCTTGTTCACCTCATCCCTTCCTTCCCCACTGACCTCCTCTTTTATTTATCAGAATGCTGCTGGTGCAGAAATGCCTAGCCTAAATCTCCCTCCTCACTGCCCACTTTCTCTTTACTCTCTGTCCCTGCCCCTCCCACATCCACACACCTACACACCTGTTTTCTAACTGATCTTGTCCTGGGTAATCTTGTCCAGCAATAAAACCCACTCCCTCCCACAGCAAGCACTGACTTGGTTATGCAGTTGGCATTTTTACTAATGCTTACTGCCAGCTATCTCCTCTGATCTTTAAGTCTTGTCTTTCCAAGTAAAGTGAAATTCCTTGAGGGTAGGACCATCTCTTCTGCAGTTACTAGCTCAGGGGCCCAGAAAAGAAAATCAGGAATAGCTAAATAAGTCATGTATGTGGGATATAATGAACTAAGCAGTATTAAACATATTAACCATATATAGTGTTTATTAGGGGGTCAGATACAGTAACAACAACTGTTAAATGTAGTCATTGATACATATCTCTGTTTCACTAATGAGAAAACAAAGTCACAGAAAGCTAGGTAACTTTAGCAAGGGCACAAAACTGGCAGATAATGAGGTGAAACAGGCTATCTGATTTCAACATCTAGTTTTCTTGAAAAAACAAAAAAAAAGAATTGGGGCTCCCTCCCTCAAACACATGTTCTCCTCAAATTTTCTATTTTCTGTAGAAAATAGAAATATATTCTATATTCCCTTTCATTACAGTTTCAATATCTGAAAAAAATAAGAAAACAGTTGGCCAGATAACCCCAAACACACTAAGTGCCTGCCACATCCCTGTCAGCAAAATTTTAGCTTTTCATGAGTGAAAGGAGAGCTGGAATTAAAATTCATCCTCATGACTTAGGCATGTCTCCATTTGACTCATTTGCTTTTATTTGGTTTGAACTTAAGAGAATGTTCAATGACCAGACAGAAGGGAATGCCTGATCCTTAGAGGAAGCAAATCAGTCTTACATGGTACTACTTCAAGCGTGTCAGGAAGCTAACATTGATATCAGACTTAAACTTGGTTGGCCGGTGTCTGAAATCCTACCACTATAACTTCATCCTTTAGAGTAAGGGTTTGATGTTTGTTAAAAGCAAAATTCCCACAGAAAGAGAAGCACCTCAACTGTTGCAGCTGTCACTTCAATAAAGAGCTGAGATCATATTTCAATGAGTGGGAGTAGGAAGGAGTGCATTCCGTGACTTCTGTGTCTAGACAGGCAGCCTGGTCTGGTAAAAAGAAAGTATTAGCTATGTATCCGAATGGCTGAATTCAATTTCTGACTTTGTTACTAGATTTGAAAAGTTTTGGACAGCCAATTAGGCCCTCACAACCTCCATGTCAGGTGTCAGAGGAGGATGCTAAAGTGATTTATAGGGCATCTTCCAGAGGTGTTTGCCTACACTCCCCAAGTAAAATATGTGCCCCCTAAGGCAGAGACCACGTATGTTTGGAGTCAACTCTAAGTCCCAACACCCAGAACATGTAGTTACTGACTGAATGTGCCTCAAAGAGTACATGAATAATTATTCTTAACTTATAGCTGGGATAATGGTCTCTCCTAGAACTTTAGACGTTTATACTAACTGCTTCCGAGAAAATTTCACCCAGATACGTCATTGTCATTTAAAACTCAAAATGTCTAAGACTTGAATCACCACCTTGCTCCCAGTACCAGTTCCTTCTCCTTAACAGTATCCTTGGTTTAAAATGATCAACATTCCTGATATATTGAAATTATATGGCTTGAAATGTTCAACATCTCCTTTGCTTCTGCCTCCGAGCAGTCCTAAATCCTGCTAATTCCTTGTTTAGAATTCCTCAGATCACCCTCTCCTTTCTGTCTCCTCTGCCAACCCTCAATCATGCTTATTACCTGTCACTGGCATGTCTGAAACCTCCTGGCTCTCCTTCTAAACAAGTTAGCCGCATTTAACTTTCTGATACAATATTTTAAGAACATCATTTTGTAAATATATACAACTATAATTTGTCAATTTGTAATTTTAAAAATTAAAATTAAAAGAAAGCATCATTTGCTTCCTCAGAAGCCTTCAACAGCTAACCACTATCTATGTGAATCTGTGTTTGACTTCTGTAGCCTCAGGTACAAACATTGCATCAACATAAGGTCCAGTCAGCAGATGACAGAAACACCAGTAATCTGAGCTGGTAAAATTTAATATAAAGAATTGTTAACTAGGTAAAGATAGTTAAGCACTAAAAGGTATAAAAGAGAACGATTTATAATCCTTTGGATATATATCCAGTAATGGGATTGCTGGGTCAAATGGAATTTCTATTTCTAGGTCATTGAGGAATTGCCACACTGTCTTCCACAATGGTTGAACTAGTTTACACTCCCACCAACAGCGTAAAAGTGTTCCTATTTCTCCACATCCTCTCCAGCATCTGTTGTCTCCAGATTTTTTAATGATCACCATTCTAATTGGTGTGAGATGGTATCTCAATGTGGTTTTGATTTGCATTTCTCTAATGACCAGGTCTACTATAAGGACACATGCACACGAATGTTCGTTGCAGCACTGTTTACAATAGCAAAGACCTGGAATCAACCCAAATGCCCATCGATGATAGACTGGACAGGGAAAATGTGGCACATATACAACATGGAATATTATGCAGCAATCAAAAACGATGAGTTCATGTCCTTTGTAGGGACATGGATGAACCTGGAGAACATCATTCTCAGCAAACTGACACAAGAACAGAAAATGAAATACCACATGTTCTCACTCATAGGCGGGTGTTGAACAATGAGAACACATGGACACAGGGAGGGGAGCACTACACACTGGGTTCTGTTGGGGGGAATAGGGGAGGGACAGCAGCAGGGGGGGAGTTGGGGAGAGACAGCATGGGGAGAAATGCCAGATATAGGTGAAGGGGAGGAAGGCAGCGAATCACACTGCCATGTGTGTACCTATGCAACTATCTTGCATGTTCTTCACACATACCCCAAAACCTAAAATGGAATTAAAAAAAAAAAAGGTATAAAAGAGAATACTAAGGTACTCAAAGTTAGCAACTCCAGAAAGCAGTTACTATCCCTAAGGCCAAGGGAAAGTGAGTAAGGAAGGAATGTGGAAATTTAGAGGAAAGAGCTCTGCAAGACTTAGAAATATTCAACTTCTGTGATAAGGCATGGATGCACAGAGATGCACATCTGACTGCTGTGAGAATGAAGAAACTTGATGGAGAGACCACCTGGGAATCACCCAGCACTGAACTGTGGGAGCCTGTGCTTTGGTGAACATTACAAGGATCTCCTCGACATTTCCTCACTAATCTGCTTGCTACTGCCCAGAAATAATGCATGCTGGGCTTAATACCTAGGTGACAGGTTGATAGGTACAGCAAACCACCATGGCACAAGCTTACCTATGTAACAAACCTGCACAACCTGCACATGTACCCCAGAACTTAAAATTAATTAAAATTCTGCAACTTCAAATTTTGTACCTAATGGAAATCATAATTATTGATTTAAAATGAAAATGTGGGTAAGCTCCATTTGTACTCTTGTCTCTGTTGTGGTGGGCCTGTGAGGGCACAGAGGGAGTGTTGAGGAGGAAGAAGATAACCAACAGGACAACATTTTGGTGGTGGTGAGCAATTTGTTTTCTGAGCTCTTCTTTTGTATTATTTCTAAATAAAATATAACAGTATTCAAGGTAAAGGGGGAAAAAAGCATACTCCGTGAAACAAGAAAAGTCCTTTTTTCCTGCCATTAACACCTTGCAATCTCTTTTTTAGCATCTTACCGACAGAGTTTAGCATCAAATCAGAGAGCAAAGGAGAAGTGTCTGCAGTGTCCAGCTCCCCTATTACAAAGCAAGGCAAAGAGTGGGTTTGGAGCTGAGATGTACTGTTCTTTCCTTTGCTTTTTTTAAAAAAAAGAGTATCAAAGTTCCCTGCACCAGTTGGAAGTGACATTTCTTTCTTTTGAACTGCTATTTTACCTATTTTGGAGACCAATCATGTAACACTAATAGTGTGTTACTAGATATTCTAAATATTCTCACATAATATGTTTCCCTCATACTAGATGACAAATTCCTAAAGGACAATTTTCTTTGAAAATTTTTGTGTTAAATACAGGAATTGCATTTAAAATGTATAGCTTAACTACTTATAAATAAAGTGAATATTCTTGTAACCACCATCATGTTAAGACAAAGACATAGAATGTGGTCAGCATCCCAGGAGTCTTCCATGTGTCCTTCCCAATGACAGCCCCCACCTCTGCTCCCAAGAGTAACCATTGGCTTTGACAATAATCACTTCTTAACTTTTCTTTATTACCCAAGTACAATTCCCTAAATCTTATAGCTCATCTATATTTTTTAATGTCTTTTAAATCACTCAATTTATGCTTTCATCTCTGTCCTTTTCCCACTATATTTTATTTGTGTAAGAAACTGGATCATTTATCCTATAGAATTTCCAACAGTTTATTGCATTCCCATGGTGTAGTTTAATATGTTCCTCTGTCCTCTGTATTTTTTTGTAAATTGTGTTTTCTGTAAATCAAAAGGCACAATCAGATCCAGATTCAACATTTTTAATAAAACTTGTTTAAATAATTTTTTGTGTTTTAGGGAGTACATGATATTTAATTTTTTTTGTGATGTCAGCAACCATCGATGTTCATTGTCCAAGGCCTTTAACTCACTAGGGGTTGCATACTGGGGATATTCCAACTCTATGATTCCTTGTCCATTTATTTACTGGGATCCTTCTATAGAGAAAGGCTTCCCCTTATCTACTATTTGGTTATCCAGTGTTACATTTCATATAGAAAAAACAAAATGAATGCTAGATTTCAAAATAAAGAGTTGGTTAAAAATAAAACCAGTTATATGGAGTTTTATAATTCATTATAATCTTGTGAATTTTGTTATTGGGCTTATTGATGTTCAAATTGCCTTATTTTTAAGTTGGTTCCAACTTTTGACAAAACCTACTAGTCTTTGGTGGCTTCCTTGATATCTGCTATACTTTAAGCTTATTGTACATTTTCTGTCCAGCACTGAAACTAGCCATTTCTCCAAAATTCCTTGGTTTCTTTTAATGGTAAATAGTAAATCAAGACCAAAAACCAGGGGCTAGGTATATAGTAGCCTCAGTATAGTTTCCACGCCTTTACCTTGGACAGGGCTATATATAACAGATTGAGCTAGGAGATGTATACATACACACTCATACACACATATATAGAGCTAGGAGATTGAAGTAGGATATATACATACACACACACACACACACACATATAGAGTTATCATACTATATATATATATACTTACCTATAGAGAGAGTTATAATTTCTAGGTCATTTCAATGGGCAGAACTAAGAGGTAATTATCATAATTATATGGACCACGCTAGAAGAGAAAAAGAACAAACACATATTCTACAGAATAGAACAAATTAGGACAGAATGAATATCTTAGCTTGTTCCATTATATCTATATACTTATATATTTATAATGATTATATGTATATCACTGTATCAAGAATTATTTCTAAGTAATGTAAAAAAACTGTTTTTCCTACTTACACACTCAACATTTCTGGTCACCAAAATTGGTGGGGACTCTTCCTCACACAACAACTGATTCTCCAGTGGACACCAACTGAGTATCCCATAATGCAATTCAATTCTGACACAGTCTACCTGGAGTTAGAGTCAGATTCCCAGGTTAAGGGTTTAGTCCCAAAGACTGCCCCCATGGCAGATGCTAGTTCCATGTGGGCCTCTGGAACTGCTGACTGACTGGCTATAAATTGGAAGTAACCACTACCACTTCCTTGAGCATTTGCTAGAGAGGCTCATGTAACTCAGGAAAGCACTTTTTGTTGATTGGTGTATTATAAAAGATATAAAAATAATACAGATGAACAGCTAGATGGTAGAGATGCAGAGGTCAAGGTATGCAGGAAGAGGCAGGAAACATCTACGGCCTCATGAGGCATGGCACCTTCCACATCAGCAACCTAGAAGCTCCCCAAACTTCATGCTTCAGGAAGGTTTATGAAGGCTTCATCAGATAGGCATGATTAATTACTAATTCAATTGTCAGCCTCTCTCCCCTTCAGGGAGGATGAAGAGTGAGGCTGAAAGTTCCAGACTTTTAATCATGGCTTAGTCTTTCTGTGACCAGCCCCATTCAGTGGGCCACCAAGAGTCACCTTATTAGAACTCCTGTCACCCAGGACATTTCGAGGGATTCAGGAGCTCTGTGTCAGGTGCTGCTATCACTCAGGAAATTACAAAGGTCTTGGGAGCTCTGTGTTAGGAACTGGGTCAAAGACCAAATATTAGAACAAAAGATTCTCCTAGCACCCAGGAAAGTCCAAAAGGTTAGAAATTCTATGTCAGAAACCAGGTCAAAACCAAAATATTAGAACAAAGATGAACCTAGCTCCCCGATTGCTCAGGAAATTACAATGGTTTACGGAGCTCTGTGTCAAGAACTGGAAATAGAGTTCAAATATATATATTTTCATTATGGTACAATGTCCTGTTCATTTAATAATAATGTCTATATCATTATAACTATTATTCTTTCCTATAGAATGTACCTTTCTATCAGAACTTAGTCCATTATATCTATTGATAATTCCATATATTATATGCATAATAAAATATATAAACAAGTATAATTATATGATAATTTATTTAATATATACAATTATATATGTAAATATTATTCATTTATTTAAAGATAAAATACCTCATGTTCACACTGATAATTTGAATTAAAATTTCAGTGTTACTTAAACTCTTCTACCTTATGTTCAAATTTCTTTTTGTCTCCAGCAAGAATCCTGGATTGCAAGGACAATGGAGATGATTGACTGTTTTGTCCATGTCATACAAAACATTCTCAAAATCACACTATCAAAACTGCTACCAGTATAATTACTGAAAACTGTTTCAAATTTTTCATGTGATATTCTCATTCTCTCCTTGTTTTCTATAACTATGCTGTATCTATACTGTCAGAGGACAGAGCCATTATCATACTCTAGTCTTATGTCCTCCCTTTGTTCTTCATGTAAATATATATTCAATGCCCACCATCCCTCTTTATGTCAATATTCCTCTAGTTATTTTGGTTGTCTGAAGCTATTGTATACCAAGGAAAGATTCACAGAAGCAGTATTTTTCAGTTCTCACTTCTGGGTGGCAGTTTGCTCCCTTTTTATTTAAAAGACAGTTAGCTGTTGAACATAAAATCCTTGGCTTATTGTTTCTTTCCCTTCAACATTCTAAATACGTTATTCTGTTTTCTTCTGGTATAAGACATTGTTATTGAAAAGCCTGATAACAATTCATTTTTCTTTCCTTTATAAGTCATTTGTTCTGGGTCAATTTTTCCAGGTATACAATGTGCTCTTTCAACATGTAACTTCAAAGTTTTTCATTTGATGAAAGTTTTGGTGCATTGTAATTAGGTGCTTCTTCTAACTTGATTTTTTATTCATGGATTCCTAATTTTTATATAGATATGTCAGCTCTTCTCTGCCTGTCTTCTCAATTTATCACATTCTTATTAATACTTTTCATCTCTTCTTTCCTTTTTCATTCCTTTTTTAATTGTGGTAAAACATAACATAAAAATTACTATCATAACCATTTTTAAGCGTACAGTCAGTGGCATTAAGCACGTTCACATCATTGTGCAGTCAGCAGCACCATCCATCTCCAGAACTCTTTGTATCTTGCAAAACTGAAATTTATACCCATCAAACAATGACTCTCCATTCCCATCTCTCCCGTCTCAGTCCCTGGCATCTTCATGTCTTTTGGAGCTTTACAAATTCCCTTCTTTTCATTTTCTATTTTTTGTTAAGTCATCACCAATGTATTTGCTCTTGTGTTATACTTCTAGTTAGACAATTTCTGAACTGAATGTTTACTTTTATGTCTAATTCTTCCTTTATTTCTACCACTTCATTTCTGTTTTCTTTATTGTGGTTTATCTTTCATATCTTCTGTTAGCTGTTTAAAAAAGTTTTCATTTTTTTTGTGAGAACATCTTTCTGGCATGCCTTTATTATCTATAGAAATTCGACTCATTCTTTCCTCCCTGCCCTGCAATAAATTTGAATGTGATTTTAGCTCATTCATTTCTGATGCTCATTTTTATACCAAATGAGATTTTCTGAAGTTTTAGAAAAGAAACTTGGCTTAGAATCATTTTGTGTTTTTTTAAATTTTATGTCTCTAGACCACCCTCTTCTGGTTGTTTGTATAAAGTGTTCGACAATATGAATACTTAAATTCTAAGACTTTTTGGTTCTATTCTCCCTTATCACGTGTGGACCTCATGTTTCCTTGGTCTCTACTGTCCCTGACCTGCTCAGCTTAGATACTCTTAATAATTTATTCTCAGTTTGGATCATAGCTTTATCTTGGAGGGAACTTTGTTGGGTACTTTTGAGAGTACAGGGAGCTCAGTACATTCACGCTCCTTAGTCTTACCATGGACACTTTTGGACCATGCAAACCCTCCTAGTTTCAGTTACTGTTCTTTTCCAGATATGTGCTTGTTGGCTTCTTCGAAGTCAAGTTTGTCAGATACCCCATTGCTTCCTCTTGGACAGATGCTGATACCAACTAAATCTTGCAGCTATTGGCGATTGATTTGTCATTATTTGCTCATAATTTGGGATTTGTGGGAATACCTAGTCCCTAGTTTTATAGAGGTTGTCTGTGCCCCATAATACATTTTGTAATCTTAGTTGTTCTGTGTGTTCTATGTGGGAATTTGGCAGAAGCCACTGCAAACTTCACCAGATCTCAGAGCAGAACGTTCTAATTTCCCAGCTCAGTATGCCTTGTATATAGGAAAGATTTAGTAACTATTTGAAAAACGAATTTAAAAGTTTGAGGTATCATTTTCTTTAGGCGCTTTGTAATCCTAGAGTAAGGAGTGTCAAAACTGTAAAGTGCTTGTTATCCCAGCACTTTGAGAGGCCAAGATGTGCGGATCACTTGAGGTCAGGAGTTCGAGGCCAGCCTGGCCCACATGGTGAAACCCCATTTCTTCTAAAAAATACAAAAATTAGCTTGGTGTGGTGGTGCACACCTGTAGTCCAAGCTACTCAGAGGGGTAAGGCACAAGAATCACTTAAACCCCAGGAGGCAAAGGTTGCAGTGAGCTGAGATTGCAACACTACTGTACAGCCAGGGTGACAGAGCCAGAACCTGTCTCAAAAAAAAAAAAAAAAATTGTAAAGGAGGTGAAGTTAATTCTTTGTATCAATCCACCAACTTTTCTGACTTCTTTCTTCTGTGCTTCTGGTCGATCTCCTTCCTCTTATCTTCTTTTTCTTTCCTCCTGAGGCACATTCTCCTCCTGCCCTCCCTGACCTATTTATACATTGTAGGACTCATTTTGCTAATGTTTAAGTTTTTTTTCTAAATTTATAAATTAGATTTTCCTTTCTCAAACCGTCCTTGGTTGGATATCAAGATTACGCTGAAGTCTTATGATAATTTGTCAAGTATTCTCTCTTATTCTATCCTCTGGAATAGTTCGTTTAAGGTTGGAAGTATTCATCCTTTGAATGTTTGCTGGAATATTTTGGTAAAACAATTTGTGCCTGTACATTTTGAGTATGATGATTTTTAACAACTGAATTAATTTGGGGGAAATAAGAATATTAATATCTTCTTTTTCTTCTTAAGTCTATTTTGTTAAACTACATTTTTCCAGGAATCTGTCCAATTCTGTTGTAAACAATGCTGTTTAAAGTATCCTGTTACTATTGTTTGGTTTTGCTGCTTCTATAGATATATACCTCTTTTCAGTTCTACCTTCTTTCTTAAAAATTTCTTGAATTCATCAGTAGTTTATCAAATGTATTATTTTCAAATACTCAACTTTTGGCTTTGCTGGTCCTCTCTATAGCATGTTGGGATTCTATTTCATTAAATTCATATCATTTATTATTTTCATCTTTCTACCTTTTCTGGGTTAATTTTATTTTTTTATTTTGAATATAGATGATTAATTTAATTTTCCTGTATTTAAGGTTAAATGCAAGTATTTAAGGTTAAAACCTTTTCTCTGAGCACTGCTTTACCTGGATCCAATAAGTTTTAATAAAATAATTTTATTTTAAGTCTAAATATTTTCTAGTTTGTGATGATATGTTTTTGACTCACAAATTACTTAGAACAGTTTCTTTTATTTTTTCAAAGAAAGTCTCACTCTGTTACCTAGGTTGGGGTGCAGTGGCACAACCATGGCTCACTGCAGCCTTAAAATCCTGGGTTCAAGTGATCCTCCTGAGTAGCTTAGAGGGACCACAAGTGCACACTGCCATGCCTGGCTAATTATTTTATTTTTTTAGAATTGTGGTCTTGCTTTGTTGCTCTGGCTGATCTTGAACTCCAGGGCTCAAGTGATCCTCCTTCCTTGGCCTCCCAAAGTGCTAGGATTATAGATGTAAGCCGCTGTGACCAGCCTAGAATAGTTTCTTAATTTTCAAACATATTGACTTTTACTTTCTGGTTATTTATTTATTATTGAATTCTAGAATGATCGTAATTTGGTCAGAGAATGTAATTCCTGTGGTGCTGAACCTTTGGAATTTGTTGAGACTTGCCTAATGGTCCAGTATGAATCACTTTGTGTAAATGTTCCATGGGCCCCTGAGAAAAGTGAAACATGTATTCTGCAGCTATTGGGTGTAGTATTAACCTTACGTCCATTAAATTTAGCTGGTTAATTCTAGTGTTAAAATGTTCTAATCTGCATTGCGTCTTTTGTCTGCATTAAAATAGCTCTGAAAAAAATACACAGGAGACTAGTGCACTGCTTTGAGAAAGGGAACCAGGTTGCCAGGGAGTAATGCAGAGCTCTGTACATTCCAATTAGAAGTGTATCTCCCCAGGCCTGGACCTTGCTATTAGAGGAATTGCAAAGGAGATCCCCAGACTGCCTGCTGATCCTGGAAAGACTCCCAATCCCTGACAAACACACTCCCAGCTCCCTACAACAGTCAGACAAAGATAGTAATCTTATGAAGGGGGCTAAAATTGAAACTGAGGGTATGCTTTCCCCTAAGAGAACATCAGGAGTACACTGCCCTTCCTCACATAATTATTTATGTCAGTCAGTATGAGCAGTTCAAGGTCTTGGGTCATATTCATTATTTTTGTACCTTTTTAATAAAATTCTGTACATCCAGTCATCAGAGCAAATCCCACACACTTACCTACCCTAAAACCTTTCACTGCAAGCTTGGGAACTCAGCCATGTATCAGCAAAATTGCCTGTATCTTCAACCTCTCCTCAAAATGCTCCTCCAACCTCTTACTTTGACTGAAACCTGCCACCTCGCTTTGTATTCAAGTGTCACAAAGTCAGTTTGTTTTCTCACAGGCCCACAGGGTCTGGAGTAGAGTGGATGTCCTCATTATTACTTCTAGACCAGCGCTCTCCAAGTGTGGTCTACAGACCAGCAACAACTACATCACCTGGGAGTTTGGAAATACAGAATCTCAAGTCCCACCTGAAACCTACTGAATCAGAAAATGCATTCTAATGAGATCCCCCAATGCTTTGCATCAACACTATAATCTATTTTTAAGCAGAACACTCAAAGTAACAATCTGAAGCCCACAAAGCTACACCAGACATTGCTTCTGGTTTCTTCTATGACTGCCACTTGTCTGTCTCTCCCATTTCCTTCCTTAGCTCCACACAGACTCTTGTTCCTTAAACATACCACCATGTTCCTGCTTTGGGGTCTTTTCATTTATAGCCTTCACTGTCTGAGACACTTTCCCATCAGACAACCTCATAGTTCACTCCCATATCTCCTCTGCAGAACCCACTTCTCAGAGAGCCCTCCTTGATTGTCCTTCATAAATACAGTAGCTGCCTACCTGCCTACAACTATTGCCTACTTTCTTTTCTTCAGATAGCTTTAATATGTACATATTATTCACCTGTTTGTTTTATTCATTTATCATCAATCTCCTCCTTTCTATTTTTCTTTCTCTATCACCACACACGCACACACTGCAACAAAAAAGCCACATCAGAAGAAACACCCTCTATTTTTTTTTGACTGTTGTATCTACAGCAGGGAAAACAGTACCTGTGTATTGTAAGTGCTAATAAACTATTTTCTTACAAGGTAACAGATGAATAAGAAGCAAGGATGAAAAAAATGTTGTCACTGTAAGCTGTATATACCTTCCAAATCTGAACCATGGAGACGTATTATCTGCTCAAGAAAAGATTACTTAAGTGCTTATTGTTGCCATCAGCAAATATTTTTGTTATTTATTTTTTAATTTGTACTATTATTATATTCTTATTGTTTTTTAAATATAGACTTTAAAAATTTTTATTTTAGCTTCATGTGTACATGTATGGTTTATTATATATGTACACTGCAGGTCATGGAGGTTTGGTATACAGATTATTTCATCACCCAGGTAATAAGCATAGTACTCGATAGGTAGTTTTTCACTCCTCACCCTCCTCCCAACCTCCACCCACAATTAGACCCTGGTGTCTGTTGTTCCCTTTTTTGTGTCCATGTATACTCAATGTTTAACTCCTACTTATAAGAAGAATATGCTATTTGGTTTTCTGTTCTTGTCTTTGATCACTTAGGATAATGGCCTCTAACTCTATTCATGTTGCTGCAAAGGACCTGATCTCATTCTCATTTTCATGAACTCATTCTTTTTTACAGTTGTGTAGTATTCTATGGTATATATGTACCATATTTTCTTTATCCAGTCTACCACTGATGGGCATTTAGCTTGACTCAATGTCTTTGCTATTATGAATAGTGCAGCTGCAGGGAACATTCATATGTGTGTGTCTTTATGACAGAATGGTTTATATTCCTTTGGGCATATAGCCAGTAATGAGATTGCTTGGCCCAATGGTAATTTTGTTTTGAGTTATTCGAGAAATCACCAAACTGTTTTCTAGGGTGGCTGAACTAATTATACTCCCACCAGCAGTATATGTGCATTCCCTTTTCTCCACAACCTTGGCAGCCTCTGTTATTTTATGACTTTTCATTAATAGCCATTATGACTGATGTGAGTTTGTATCTCACTTTGATTTGCATTTCTCTAGTGATCAGTGATGTTGAGCATTTTTTCATATGCTTGTTGACTGCATGTATGTCTGCTTTAGAAAGGTCTGTTCATATCTTTTGCCCACTCTTTAAAAGGGTTGTTTTTTGCCTGTAAATTTAAGTTCCTTATAGATGCTAGATATTAGACATTTGTCAAATGCATAGTTTGCAAATATTGTCTCCCATTCTGTGAGTTGTCTGTTTACTCTGCTGATGGTTTCTTTTTACTGCACAGAAGCTCTTTAGTTTACTTAGATACTATTTGTCAATTTTTTTGTTTTGTTGCAATTGCTTCTGGTGCCTTTGTCTTGAAATATTTTCTAGGTTTTATGTCCACAGTGATATTTCCTAGGTTATCTTCCAGGGTTTTAATAGTTTTGAGCTTTATATTTTAAGTCTTTAATCCATCTTGAGTTGACTTGTATATAGTGTAAGGAAGAGGACCAGCTTCAATCCTTTACATATGGCTAGCCAATTATCCCAGCACCATTTATTGAAAAGGGAGTCCTTCCCCTATTGCTTGTTTTTGCTGACTTTATTGAGATCAGATGATTGTAGTTGTGTAGCATGAATTCTGGGCTTTCTGTTCTGTTCCATTGGTCTATGTATCTGCTTTTATACCACTACCATGCTGTTTTGGTTACTGTAGTATTGTATTGTCGTTTGAAGTCTGGTAACGTGATACCTCAAGCTTTGTTCTTTCTGCTTAGGATTGCACTGGCTATTCAGGCTCTTTCTTCATTCAATATGAATTTTAAAATAGTTTTTTATAGTTCTGTGGAGAATGTCATTGGTAGTTTGATAAGAATAGCATTGAATCTGTAATTGCTTTGGGCAGTATGGGCATTTTAACATACTGATTTTTTTCTCTCCAAGAGCATGGCTTGCTTTTCCATTTGTTTGTGTCATCTCTGATTTCTTTGAGCAGTGTTTTGTAATTCTCATTGTAGAAATCTTTCACCTCCCTTGTAAACTGTATTTCTAAGTATTTTATTCTTTTTGTGGTTATTGTGAATGAAATTATGTTCTTGATTTGGCTCTGTTTTGATGTTGTTTGTGTATAGAAATGCTACTGACTTGTGTACGTTAATTCTGTATTCTGAAACTTTGCTGAAGTTGTTTATCAGATTAAGGAGCTTTTGGGCTGAGACTACGAGGTTTTCTAGGTATAGAATCATATAATCTGCAAACAGGGATAGTTTGACCTTCTGTTTTCCCATTTGGATGCCTTTTGTTTCTTTCTCTTGCCTGATTGCTCTAGCTAGGATTTCCAGTACTATGTTGAATAGGAGTGGACAGAAGAGGCATCTTTATCTCATTCCAGTTTTCAAGGGTATGCTTCCAGCTTTTACCCATTCAATATCATGTTGGCTGTGGGGTTGTCATAGGTGGGTATTATTTTGAAGTATGTTCCTTCAATGTCTAATTTGTTGAGGGTTTTTAACATGAAGAGATGTTTAATTTTATGAAGTCTTTCAATATCAATTGAAATGACTGTGTGGTTTTGTCTTTTGTTCTGTTTATGTGTTGAATCACATTTATTGATTTGCTTATGTTGGACCAAACTTGCATCCCAGAGATAAAGCCTACTTGATTGTGGTGAATTAGCTTTTCCATGTGATGCCAGATTCAATTTATTTGCATCTATGTTCATTAAGGTTATTGGCCTAAAGTTTTCTTTTGTTGTTGTGTCTCTGCTAGGTTTTGATATCAGAATGATGCTGGTCTCATACGAGGAGTTAGGGAGGAGTCCCAGTTTTTCTGGAATAGTTTTGTTAGTAACAGTACCAGCTCTTCTTTATAGATGTGGTAGAATTGGGCCATGAATCTGTCTGGTCTTGGGCTTTTCCTGGTTGGTAGGCTTTTTATTACTGACTCAATTTCCAAACTCATCATTGGTCTCTTCGAGAATTCCATTGCTTTCTGATTCAATCTTGGGAGGTTGTATGCTTCCAGGAAATTGTCCATTTCTTCTAGGTTTTCTACCTTGTATGCATAGAGATGTTCATTGTAGTTTCTGAGGTTGTTTTGTATTTCTGTGGGATCAGTGGTAACATCCCCATCATCATATCTGATTGTGTTTATTTCAATCTTCTTTTTTTCTTTATTACTCTAACTAGAACTCCATCTTATTTATTCTTTCAAAGAACAAATTCCTGGATTTGTTAATCATCTTTTGTATAGTTTTTCACATCTCAGTTTTCTTCAGTTTAAATGATTTTGGTTATTTCTTTTCTTCTGCTAACTTTGGGGTCAGTTCCTGTAAGTATAATATTAGGTTGTTAATTTAAGATCTTTCTAATTTTTGATTTGGGCATTTAGCACTATATACTTACCTCTTAATACTGCTTTAGCTGTGTCCCAGAAATTCTGGTATGTTGTATCTTTGTGCTCATTAGCTTCAAATAATTTCTTTAGTTCTGCCTTAGTTTTTTTGTTTACCCAAAAGTCACTTAGGAGCAGATTGTTTAATTTCCATGTAATGTATGGTTTTGAGTGATTTTCTTAGTATTGATTTCTACTTTTATTGTACTGTGATCCAAGAATGTGTTTGGTATGAATTTGGTTTTTGGAATTTGCTGAGGATTGTTTTATGACCAATTGTGTGGTTGATTTTAGAGTATGTGCCATGTGCAGATGAAAAGAATGTATATTCCTTTGGTTTGTGGTGGAAAGTTCTGTAGAGGTCTATTAGGCCCATTTGATCAAGTGTTAAATACCGGTCCTGAATATTCTTGTTAATTTTCTGCATTGATAGTCTGTCTAATACTGTCAGTGAGATGTTGTCGTCTCCCACTATTATTGTGTGGTTATCTATGTTTCCTCCTAGGTCTCTAAGAACTTCCCTTATGAATCTGGGTGCTCCTGTGTTGGGTTTATATATTTTTAAAATAGTTAGTTCTTCTTGTTGAATCGAACCCTTTATCATTATGTAATGCCCTTCTTTGTCTTTTTTTATCTTTGTTGGTTTAAAGTCTGTTTTGTCTGAAATTAGAATAGCAACCCTTGCTTTTTTCTGTTTTTCATTTCTTTGGTAGGTTTTTCTGCATCCCTTTACTTCAAGCCTCTGGATGTCATTAGATGAGAGATGGGTCTCTTGAAGACAGCAACCATTGGGTTTTGCTTCTTTATCCAACTTGTCTCTCTGTGCCTTTTAATTGGGAAAAAATATGGAATGCTTCATGAGTTTGCATGTCATTCTTGTCCAGGGGTCATATTAATCTTTTTTGTATTGTTCCAGTTTTAGTATATGTGCTGTCAAAGTAAGCACTACTGAAATTGTTTTTAAAGTTGCTCTAACAACCCTGCTTCTCTGTGTTCAGTCACAGAGGAAGATGTGCTCCTTCTCTGGTTGAAAGACTACTCATCAAAATAGAACTTTATTTCACTTTCTTCTAACTTCACATAAAATTGGCTCCAGCAATATTCCCTTACTCTCCTTTATTTCCACTTACATCTACCAGCAGGTTTAAATGTGGTCAGGATTCTCCTTCAGAGAAAACACAACCTATTCTTTCATGTTCATCCAAGTCTCTTGTAAGTGTTGACTACACTTGATGCCATTCACTTTTCAATTTATTGCAATATACCCTTTGTTCTCACTAACCCACTTAACTTAAACTAACCTGCTATTATTTCCTAATCATCAGATACAATTTCTGGTTTTAATCTCACTGGACTTCTCTGTGCTCATCACAATTTCTATGACATGGTGCTGTCCTGTTGCTCCCCTAGATTTTTATCTTCTCATCCTTTTTCATGGACTCTGAAATGTTATGGCTCTCCAGGGTTCACATCAGACCCTCTCCTTGAATGTGACCTCCTTGAGTAGTCACATTCATTTTACAGTTTCTGTCTACATGTTGCTAATTTATAGAGTTAACTAATCTCTAATTGTGTCCTGGACCTTGCCCACAGTTGCCTTTCTTATAAACAGCTAAAGACATAGAATAAAACAGATAAAGACATGCATATTACTATATCTGGGGAGAACACAATGTCCTCCATGTGATGGACAATGTGAACCTTGTTTGTCTCGCTGGCTGCATGTCTCCTTCTAACTCCAGCAACTCCCAAACATGTGACATTGTTCCTAATGTGTGCTTTTGCTCATGCTAGCTATTATGCTTGTAACACTCTCACCCATCCCACTGCATTCCTTTCTTAGAATGACTAAGAATTTCTCTCCAAGCTGCACTAGGTGGCTTCCTGCATTTTCCATCCTCTATAGCGACACCTCTCAAAGCATTGACCATACTGTATTAAAACCATCTCTCTATGAATTAACTCTTGCCCCTCATCTGTGAGGTTCCTCAGGGCAGATGTTGGGTCTTATTGATCTGATTCTCAGTACAAAGAATAAGTGTCTACCATATTAAAAAGTGCTCAACAAACAACTGTTTAACTGAACTGGGAATTGCATTGACTATATTAGGCTCTAAGAAAAACTAGTGAAACAAGAGATGGTTTCCCCCTATTATTTTGCAGGAATAAAACCACTATAATAAAAGTCCTATAATTTTCACATGTGAGTCCATCTGTTTTGTGAGTATACTTTGGAGGTTGTTTGCTTCAGATCAAACCAGGCTGTAAAAAGAGAATTGAATCTTGATCAGGGGTTGCCAGAGTATGGCCTTCTTTAGAGCTAAAGGACAGCTCTAGTTACAGATTTTGTTTCTAAGGATGACATTGGTGCTGCACTACATTGCAACAGGAATGCATCAGTGTGAGAGCATTTATGATTGTTTTCTTTCCCCCTCAGCATAAAAATAGCTTGTCCTTCTAGGAAAGATAGCCTGACTGTATTAATGAAAGTGAAATTCTTCATAAGGCCCTAACAGTATATTTAAAATGAATAGAAAGCACTGCCAATGACAGATAAGATAAATTTTGCCCAAATTGTCCTGGAGCCCTTTCCTACACATTTTGGAGAAAATGAAATAAATACATGGGTTACTGTATCTTCTGAAAAGATATTGAAGACACATTTCTTTACCATGATTTCTTATATGTGTTTCATTCTGTACTTACACAATTAAAAGTTACTGTTCTGAGAAGTGGCTTCAGATTTTCCCAATGAGAAGTAAAAGTGAGTTCTTAAACCAGAAATAAAACTTTCATAAAGTCGCTTTAAATGCTTATATTGTTCCCCCCAGCAACTTGCAATCAGTAGATTGCATGTTTAACATTAATATCCATGTTTAAAGAGATGGTTACCTAGTACAATTTCTTTATTCCTTTTAGCAACGTTGTTCAATCCTTAAAATACAAGTATGATTAAAAACATCTCAAATTTTTTTTGCCTTTTTTGTAGACAATTTTATAAAAATACCAAGTAGCTAATACATCTTCCATTTTTACTTCCTGGACTTAGACTGTTTTACTTCCTATAAAGCAAATGCCTTTGATACATATATATACACTTTGATAATAATTGGTAAGATTATCTGACCTTACAGGTTATTGGTAGAGATGAACATGCTATAATTTTTTCTTATTTCTAAAAAAAAAATTTACATCCTAACTTCATAGCTCATTTTGCCCATAACAGATATGAAGGTAAGAAAAGCTTCACAACCTATAATTTCTGTTTTTAATAATGAGGATTATAAAACCTGTTCAGAACTCATTCTCATTCTGTAAGAATGTGCCCTATTCCAACAGATGTTTCAGAACATCAATACTATACATGCAGTAATTTTAAGATACTGTTTATAATTTCTTAAAATGAAACTAAGGTCTTTCTATGCTAATCATTTTTAAATAAGAATCCATCAGCACATTTAAGACTAGCCCTACACAAAATTGTCAGAAAAAAAAAAGTGTGTATTCTTTCGGGGGAGAGGATCAGTGGTTGACATCAGATTCTCTTTGTGATTAACAAAAGGTAAAATTCCACTGAAATAAGTAAAGCCTGCTTGTTGATATTCTTCCTTCTATCCCTTCTTTCATTTCTTCCAGTATCTTCTAGATTCAAAATTCACTGGAAAGTACATTGAACTAGAAGTCACAAAACCCAGGTGCTACTTCCAATTCTATTATTTACTAACCATGTGGCTTTGGGCAAATAGCATTTCTCTCAGCTTTAGTTCTCTTATCCTAAAATATAGATAATCATGCCCTACAGTTCCCTGCCAAATGAGGAGGGCATAGCCTGAGTTATCAGAAACCAATAGCTAATTCCCATTTGCTGAATGGAGATAGACATAACAATAAATCAACATAACAATCAGAATGTAAAAGAGGAAATGCTTTCATAGTAAAAACATTTTAAAATTTCACTCAGCTGTGTAATGAAAAATATGTCAAATCAGGAAAGGAAAAAATGTGATTTTTAGTCAACGTAGAGGACAGACTCACCCTGGTTGCCAACTGTGCGGGTTCAGAGTGACAGCTCTGGAAGGCTGCTCTCCGATAAAGTCATTCCTGTCAGCATTCTCACTGACATTCTTTATAAGATACATTTTGCTACCATTACATTAAATGTAACTTATGTTATAAATGATGGGAAAGTTTTTGTCTTAAAAAGTCACTCCATCTGTATCTAAAATTATTCTGTTTCATCGCCATTGTTTATTGTGCCATCTCAACCATACACTGTAGTCCATTCCATGTGGGACACATCAGAGTAGCAATCTTTTCGATGGTTCACACTTCAAATAAAATAATGTATGCATAAAGTTCCCTGAAGTATTTGGTTTAAGTGTTCTTGCCCAAATTTCAACACTTTCTACTGAGTGGTGCTTTTTCTCCCATTTTCTTCCTTCTCTTTCTCTCTCTCACTCATCCTCTCAATAAAATACAACAAAAAAATCAATATAATAACTAGCTGTTAGTCTATTTTGTGTTGCTATAAAGGAATACCTGAGATTGGATAATTTTTGAAGATAAGAAGTTTATTTGGCTCATGGTTCTGCAGGCTGTGCAAGCATGGCACCAGCATCTACTGGGCTTCAGATGAGGCTTCAGGAGGCTTTTACTCATGGAAGAAGGCAAAGGGTGAACAAATGTGTCCCACGGAGAGAGAGGGAGAAAGAGAGAGGAGGAGGTGCCAGGCTCTTTAAACAACCAGCTGTCACATGAACAATTAGGTGAGAACCCTCATTACCATGGGGAAGGCACCAAGCCATTCATGAGGGATCCACCCCCATGGCCCAAACACCTCCCATTAGGCTCCCCCAACTTTGGGGACCACATTTCAATGTGACATTTGGAACAAATTTCCAACCTATATCACTAGCATATACTTGAACTTACTATCTGCCGACTATTCCACTCAAAACTAGTAAGCATATTTGTTTACATTAATGAATTCATGATCAATGTATTATTTCATTTAATGTTCATTACAACCCTATGAAGTAGTTACTATAGATAACCCATCTTAAAGCCAAGGAAACTGAGGCATAGAGAGGCTAAGTTATTCTTGACATAAATGCTAACTGATGGAGCTAAAATTAAAACTTCAGATATTAGGCTTCTGAATCTCAGGCATCAAACACAATGTCATGGAAGTGAAATAAGGATAGGACACCGGCATTCTTTCAGTTGTCAGCAAGTACTTCTTAAGTGTATAGAAAGTGGTAGATCCTGTTCTATGGTGCCAGAAATAAGAGGGTAAGTAAGATGCAATCCCAGCTCTTAAGAAGCTTAAAGTGTATTTCTCTGCTGTCCAATATTATAGCCCAAAACCACAATGTGGTTATTTTAATTTAAATTTAAGGAATTTTAATAAATAATTTAAAACAATTATTTATAGCTTACACTTAAGATATAATTTATAATAAACTAAACTAAAATAATTTAATTGAATATAATTAAAATTAAATAAAATTTAAAATTTAGTTTTTGGTCATACTACCCATATTTTGAGTGCTTAATAGCCACATGTGACTAGTGGCTGCCATACTAGACAGCACACATTAGAACATTTTCATCATTGCAGCACATTCTATAGGAAGCGCTGGTTGTTCTCCTGTGGGAGTGAGGAGATCAAGTAAAAAGGGAATTTTTCAGTAGCTTTTATCTTTACTATGCTGATGTGCTTTAGGAGCACAGAAAAGGGGACACCTGACTCAGGACACAGGACTTAGAAATGCTTTTCAGTGCAGGTGAATAGATCAAAGCCAAGATATAGAAGGTTAAGTGAGAATTATGCAGACAAAGAGAGGGAATGGATATTTTAGGCAGAAGTAAGATGTTTTCTAGCTATTTTTTAATATGACTCTTCCAGATCAAGTATTTGGTACTTAAGTTCTATCCTCAAAGAAT